CCTTTGAGAAGTCCAAGTCTTTGATACAGACACTTCCCTATGGAAGAATGGGCCACCTGCAGCAAATTCTCTGGCATGTCGTATCATTTCCTGCCCAAGAGCCAGGTGTGGCTGAGGAGAATGATGTATCCCTTGGCATATTGACACAAGTTTCTGTCTGGTCTCCGATCTCATAACTCTTTACCTTCTATAGCTTTAAAATTAGTTTTGTTCTACGGTTTTTTCTTTTTGGCAATCAGTCTTAAACATCAATTATATAGAAGTGACAAATGGCCTTTGTGTTTATCCATGGCTTCATGCATGACCCATTCCCATTGACTCCGCTCAGAAAACATTCAGGCATGGAAGTGAGGAAAGAATCCCACACCAGACACATCACCTCGAATACCGCACATGATACACAAACATCTTACATGAGAAACACTTGGGAACAGCCTTTGCCATCACACATGTGGACACCTTCGTACAAAGATTATTCTTGACTGAGGAAAAGAAATATACAGTCATTGGTTTCCACGCACATTTCAGGAACTGATACCGTAGTTCTTAATCATGGTGGTGAGAAGAGTCATTGTTTGTCATCATGTAAATTTCCCCACAGCACCTCCATATCCCACACCTTGAGAAGAGAACGTGGCACATGACAGAGTTTCTAAAGGTAATTATTGAATAAATATTTGACTTCTGGATCCATCCACACTCAAAAGGGATAGATCACGTTACCTTCCCTTTTAAGAATTCATTGTTTGAGAAGGTTCTCTTCGAGGATTAAGTGCAAAGAGATTCAGAACCCATGGGGCGCCATGGATAAAACCATCTGTGATGACTTCAGGGGGTACTAGTCACCTTTGCAGCACTGAGGAGGAGCACGGAATAAAGACAATGACACTTGAATGAATGAAGTTGGAGGCATCATTCCAAGAACGTTTAAGATACTAAATTAAAAAACTCAGCTGTTTGAACTTAACCAAAGACTTGAGCATGTTCAAGACCATCCATCAGAGACATAATACAATAGCCATTCGAGTAGATTCTTTCCAGAGTTGAGCTGCTGAGGACCTCGGTTATTCAAAATCGGGAATCAAGAGGCCAGGGGGTAATAAACAGCCTACACTCAGAATGCCATGTCCCCACTCGCTCTTTGTGACCTCTCAAGGACACAAGAGGGGGACATCCTGGGGGATGTGGACACTGGCCCTGTGTGGGTTTGCTCTGGAGTCTCAGCTCAAGCACTTTGGTGAAAAAACCCAGATGAGTTCAGGCAAGGGTCAGGACTTTATATAATTGGGCAAAAATCCTGCGTTTGATTACCTGTTATCTTTCTGGTGTGGCCTTTCTTTCTGATATTCACCCTTAAGGGTGATAAGACAAGACATTCCTCCTTTTCCCAGTCTTTTTAGCTGGGCAGAGATGAAAGTTACCTTCCTGATTACTGAATCCACTCTGCCATACTAGGAGTCACCCAGATGTTCCATTCCCAGGCTTTATACCATTTCCAAGTTTGATTTTTCCTCCAGCCTGAAATGTCCTTTCTCCACCCGCACTGTCAGTTCATTTCTACCTGTCCTTTATGGCTCAGGGACCACCGTCAACTTTCAGGAAGCCTGGGTGAGGCACCCCACTAGAATTTGAGGCCCCTTAGCACCCACCCACCCCCACTGAGCTGCCTCCACTTCACACGTGGACTCAAGCTGCTTGCCTGGGGGTACCCTCCCTCGGCAGTGACCGACTTGGTGACCGTTAACTTTAATTTCTGTGCCCCTCATGCTTTAAAATGTAGTGTCGCACAAATGTTTACTGGGTGACCAGTTGTAACTTTGCATATGTACATTCCAGAATGTCAGGCCATGATGACAGGCTTGCGTTTGATGAAACTATATTAAATAGTGATTCATTCATGTCTGAGTGAGCATTTCACGCACAGCCTCAGGAAGCAGAATCCACACTGATAGGAGCTTCTGCTCACAGACCCCGATGGTGAGGATTTGGAAGAAATGGCTTTAGACTTCAGATCAAAGGTGTGACATCTGGCAACCGCTCAGAAGGACAGAACTTTCCAGGTGGGCCAAGCTAAAGGGTGCTTATTTTTCTCTTAAGGTTTGCTAATGATGAGGGGGCAGAAGGCAAGCTGAGGACAAAGCATAAGCTGACACCCTGCAACCTTCCCCCACTCCTGGGTGGGACATGTGTGACATTCTTCCAGGAATCTCCCAACTAAATGTTAATACTTTGCTAGAGGGAAAAACGACCTTAACTTGACAATGGCCAAGACCTCTCGTATTTAATAGGTATCTTGTAGGTCGGTCCTCTTTAGCAAATGAAAGTTCTTTTGAAACCTCCGTTTTCCTTACTTCTGCCAACTCAAAGTGTATCATCAGCCACTCCTCAAGACCCCGGTGCCGCAGCTCTTTCTGCCCATGGGTCCTGTCCCCTGCTTTGATAAAACCACCATTTTGCACCAAAGATGTCTCAAGAATTCTTTCTTGGTGGTCAGCTCCGGACCTCACCCCACTGAAACTCACCTATATTCTAAAACCGCATCACTAAGGCTTTTGTGCCCCTGAAGCTGGAAGGAAGCACATACATCACAAGCCAGGGTGCAGACAGCTACCCCCAGGAGGATTCCAATGGCTATCTGTCCCTCCAGGGAGGACTGGCTGCCTGAGCCCCAGAATCCTGACCACCCCAGGAGGAAGGCTGCACATTCCTGCCCACCTTCCTCCCATGCACAGCTGGGACCCAGGCACCAGGTAGAATGGAGAAAGGGGAGAGAGGAAAAAAAAAAAAAAGAGTTACTGTGATTGGAAGAATGGATCTACTCATGCCGAGATCAAAGGTCAACAAGTGGATTAGACTGGGGGAAAAAAAAGAGAGAACCTTCTTTTGCCCCATCAGGGTTCTCTTGGAACTGAGCTACTACGTTGCATGAAGTGGAGGTTTTCAAAGGTGTGTGTCAGAAACAGCCTTCGAGTGCTAGTGATTGCCCAGGGGGCAGGAGTGGGCGTGTCCGTGCTCCCCCTGCCTTCTACTGAAGGGCACATTTGATTTAAATCAAGGGTTCTAGGGGCACCTGGGTGGCTCAGTCATTAAGCGTCTGCCTTCAGCTCAGGTCATGATCCCAGGGTCCTGGGATCGAGCCCCGCATCGGGCTCCCTGCTCCACGGGAAGCCTGCTTCACCCTCTCCCACTCCCCCTGCTTGTGGTCCCTCTCTGGCTGTCTCTCTCTCTGTCAAATAAACAAAATCTTTTAAATAGATAAACAAATAATAAATAAATAAATAAATAAATAAATAAAGGGGTCTAACGCTTCCTTTTTTTAAAAAAAATTTTATAAGTAGTAAAACTTGCCAGCTGCAGAGGTTTTGTTCCTCGTTGCCCTTGCCGGCACATTAGGCAAGGTCAAAGTCTCATGGCAAACTGGAGCTGCCGTCCAAATAGAGAAAGTAGCCTACGACATATCACAACAAATAGAAATCACCAAAGCTCCAGAGCAGAGCTGTTCGAGAACTTTCTGCAGTGATGGAAACCTTCTCTCTCTGGGCTGTCTGGCACAGGAAACCCTAGCCACATGTGGCCATGGAGCACTTAAAATGTGGCTAGTGGGACCGAGGTCTGAATTTTCAAGATTGTTTAATTTTAGTTATAATTAAAAATTGAATAGCCTGTGGCTACTGTCCTGGATGACATGGCTTCAGAGGGCACTTCCCCCCCACCCCCTCAAACCGACTTGCTCTGGCGTTACCTTCCTCAGTTTATCTCAGGAGCCACATAGCAGACACAGATTCTCACATGTTTCCTATTGCATAGGCTGGGCACCTGTCTTTAAAATCCAGAAACCCAGCCTGAAATATCATTTTTACGTGTAATCTTAAAATTAAACTTTGTGCTTGCATTTCCCTCTGGTTTTGCAGTCACAAGATCCTGCAAAATGCTTGTGCGATAGGTTGCCCTTTCTGCAAGGTACCGAGAAGGAATGTTTCCTCTAGACCAGGTCTCCCATCCGTACAGAGAACAGGGAGCATTCACAGACTTCTCCTCTCCGCCTCAGTCCCAGAGGCCTGTGTTCTGTGGGACAGAGAGGATTGCTTGGGATTTCGTTCTCTTGTGGGGCTTAAACTGAACTTTATTCAAATTAGAATAAAGGCTTTTCAGCTCAGCCCCACCCAACAAGCTACCTTGGTGATGTCGCTCTTGGTGACGTTGGGTGAGAGGACACTCACTCAGGCTTTGAGAAGAGCTCTCTCCCCAGATGACCTGCCTTACCTCCTGCACCTCTCATCACATATGTATCAACCCCAATACCTCCCTGGACATCATAAGCTGGTGTCCTCCAGGACAGGAGCTGAGAAACCATCTCCCACCTCTGGGCAAAGCAGCTTACAGCTGCATAGGTGGTTCAAGCAGAAAGACTAAGACGACCCATCAGCTGAACTTTGATGGACCTCTCTAAGCACAGCGTTGGGGGAGGTCTACATTTAGGAAACAGGAAACTCGCCTACTTTGTATTCACAGTTGGCAGAAGCAACTCAGACTTCCCAGAACAAATGGCTTTAAAAGCATTTTAGGGATGTGTGTAAACGCTGTCCTACTTTAACTGACAGAAACCTCAGAGAAAACCTCTTCCATCTATAGGTAAAAACAACATGGCGAGGTGTCCCATCAGAAGCCGGGCTGATGTGAAACTTCAGGGGGGCTGGTTGGGCAGGGCAGCTCCACTGAGCCCCACAAGCAAACTATTCATTTCTAGGAACCCCAAGGTGTTCTGGCTAACGTGTTTTCTCTTTGCCTTTCAGCAATCCTAACACTGACGTGCCGGGTCGCCTATCTATCATCGACCAGCCCTTAACAATGAGGTGCAGAGAAGGCATGTGATTCTTGGCTTTGGGCAAAGGGAATAAAATATTGTCCTGCACTTGCAGTAACCCCTTGGGTTTCCCCCTCACTCGTCCCCTCTCTCCCGGAGAGGCCAGGGTCCCCTTGCCCTTGGGCTTCACACTCACCTGTGCCCCGAGAGTGGCTGAAGTCGCCCTTCACCACGCGGCATGTCTTGCCATCCCCGCTGCAGACCCCACACCGGTCTTCCTTGGCCGCGGACCCGATGATGCCATCACAGCCAATTTTCTGAACGACCAAAGGGCTGGGTTATTCTGGGTTTAAGACTAGAGGGATTTTCGGAGAGGATCTCTGCAGGGCTGACTTCTCCAATAGGCCCAGCAAGCGTGGTGCCTGGAATGCGCCATACTTTCAGAGGCCCGAGAAAATATTTTATTTTAAAATCAGAAGAGAAAAAAATGAACAGACTCCAGCTTATAGCATATCTGTCTTTATAACCCACATAGTTGTCACACATATTTTTTATTATTTGTTAGGGAGGAAGGGGCCATGAAGGCAAAAAAGACCTCAGAGGTCCCACTGAGGCTAGAAGCCTGACCCTTCGAGCGCTACCTGAAGAAGAGGCCAGCCTCTGACTCCCACATACCTTCCAGGGTGGCTACAACTTCACAGGATTCATGTTTCCCTTGGGGCTGCATGGGGCACCTCTGTCTTGGTTGGAACAGCCAGCAGAACAGGCTGGAGAAACCACCCTGACTTTTCTGTTGAGGTCAGGAAGCCCAGAGCTCATTTAGACACAGCTGGGAATGAGCCCCCCATTTCTCCGTTGAGACCTAGTCCAAGAAGACCCCTGTTTCCCAAACCTTTCAAAAAGGACTGGGTGAGGTCAGAGAAGAGTAACTTGACCCTGAGTGGCTCTGGGCGGCACAGCCCAAGGCAGTTCATGAAAAGTGAGAAAAAGCTGTGAACTCTTGTTTTTCCTTCAAAAACAAATGCATGAGAATTTTATATTCTGTAAAACAGCATACTTAGCTTTATAATATGGTAAACACCGAGTATTTAATTGTTTACTAGTTAAATTGCTGAAATTCCCCTCTCCACTCCCCCCACCTATCCCGCCCCCAAGTGAGTACTTCTAGAACAAGACTGAGTTTCCTCATCGCCCTGCATTAAGGATTGGTGCTTCAGGCCATGAAGGAGTCAACAGCCAGATAACTGAGGCCAAGGTGATTTTGCTCCTTCCCATGATGCTTGGATGGATGCTGGCAAGCTGCTTCTGTCCTTGCACCCCACTCCAACAGGGCAGGGCGTGGAGCAGAGCGGGCTGAACAGCAACTTCCTCTTGGTCCCACCGCTTACACCTTAATCAGAATCCTCTGCTTCATCATGGTAGTGTTTTTGTGGTTTTTTCTTTAAGATTTATTTGAGACACAGAGTAAGCATAAGTGGGGGGGAGGGGCAGAAGGAGAGACTCTCAAGCAGACTCCCTGCTGTGTGTGGAGACCGATGAGGGGCTTGATCCCATGACCCATGAGATTACGACTTGAACCGAAACCAAGAGTGGGACACTTAACCGACTGAGCCACCCTGGCACCCCAGCATAGTTCTTCAGCAGGAACGTGCGTCCACCTCTCCAGGAGGGCTGTCAGAACAGACTGCTGGATCCCACGCCCAGCGTTTCTGACCCAGCACGTCTGGGTGGGCCTGAGGATGCGCCTTTCTAACAAGTTCCCAGGTGATGCTGCTGCCACTGCTGGTGGTCGGGACCACCCTCGGAGAACCACCCCATCATGCGATGTTCTATGAAGAGTAAGTGCATGTTCTTCCTAACCAACAGTCCCAAGTCTCATCCTGGGATCCTTTCATTTCTTTAGGGAAGAATTATGGGAAAATTACTGTTGTGTGTCCCCCAACGGTAGCATAACTGAATACATTTCAGTAAAGACCTGAAGATCTGCTAAGTGCTGAGCAAGGTTAGTCCAAAAATGAGACCATTAAGAAAGAGCAGCATTTGGAAAAAGAAAAGAAAAGTTCAAATGTGTTCAAAGTAGTAGAAAGACAGGTCAAGGGCAAGACTGGGGGCTTTAGCAGCCAGAGGTCAGGCAAAGGAATGAATGCAGCAGGCAAGTGCACCTGAAGGAGCTGGGGAGATTTAGGTGACACATGGAGACCCAGGTGGTAACTGGCACAGACTGCAACACCTTGCCAGGGCAGGACACCCAAGGGTGGCCTGTAGGTAGACCAGCTGCTGCAGGGTACCTAGAACCGGGAGTGGCCGAGATTTGTGATCTGGACTGTTGGCTGATTGTTGTCAAGTTGCTCGATATAAAATGATGCCGGCTAAGAATCCAAGGCAGCCAAGATCCAAAATTTTGCTCAACCAGCATGCTCAGCAGAGGCTCTGGAACCAAATCCGTGGGGCCACACATGTGTGTGCTGCCCATCTATATTGCTCCCATGTGTTCAGAGCTCCAGCCTTTTTCTGGCCCCCTAAACCCTGACCCCGTAAACCCTGACCACTGTCATGTCACCCTGACCTGTCCACATGTGGCTTCCCCATCACCTGCTTTCAGGTCTAGACTCTTCCTTACATGGTCTTCCTATTTTAACCACATTCCCACTCAGCAATAGTGGGTCTCTGGCTTGGCCACCCACTCCCTGTCTGGTTCCTCAGTTGGAATTGCCTGATTAAACGCTTTCTAGATGTTCTAAGTTAACATCCCACTCTGTCCAGACAGCTTCCCTCCCCAGCCCCAATGACAGCACCTGACAAATCTGAGGCCACACAGCAAACTGTCTGGCGGGGCCAGGAGCAGTCCCTCACCTCTTGCCTCCCGACCCTGGGCCGGCTGGGTGTCTCCCCTGATTATCCTCAGCCAAGGACTGGGGATCACTGGGAGAACTTCTGGAAAGGGTGGGGCTTCTTCTGAAGGCATGTTGGGCTTGCAAGAATATGGAAACGTTCAGAAAAAAGAAGCTAAAGGAACAGGAGAAACGTCATCTGGGGGGAAAGGGAATGTGAATGGAGAGTCTGCGCTAGGATCTCAAAAGGCCCTCTGCAGCCTGGCTAGGAGATCAGGACGAGGAGCAAAGCGTGTGTTTGCAATCTGCCAGAGCAGGAATTCACCCGGAAGCAGAAAGGACAGGCATCGGAGGTACTTCAGGAAGGAACAGGACAGGGACTCAATGGGAGGAAGGGCCTTTAGGAGAGCACACACTTTCCTGGACGAGCAAACCACTTCTCCCCCAGAGTCCCCTGAAAGAAGGACCTTGGTGGGAAAGAGACAAGTAATGAGGAAAAATCTTGGCTTAAGTGAGCGCTTGCGAAGCCCCCGCACAGCCAGACCAGCACCAGGTGCCTTCGTGGCTGATCCCGGCAGATGCTGTTGCCCCACCTAAGCAGAGGCAGGTCAGGGGGCAATTTTCTACCCTTCATGAGATTCTTGTCATGGCTCCTGAAGCACCGCATGAAGAACATATACACATGTGCATGGCAGTGAAGCCCCAACCAGTACACATTTAGATCTTATGGGATCCAAAATTAAGTAGATACAACGTTTGGAGTTGATTTCCTTTTTTTCAGGGATGAAGTCCAAGTCAGTTGGGGCCCAGCAAGGCCTGATGTCCGTGGGGCTGCTGGGGCATGCTGGGCCTGCCTGGAGCTAGCCCTGGCCTCTTTTCTGAGAGTTGGGGATGTTTACAGGCAAGCCCCAGGGGGCCCATCCTCACCAGCATCTGGTCATCTCAAGAGGCCAAATACAGTATCCAAAGAGTATGGGCTTAAATCTGGATCTGAGACACTGGGGGAGACTTTCTGAAACGTGGCCACCTGCTTATTTTTTGGTTGGTCATGGGAGCTGAGATTAGTCTATGAAGATGGTATGCCCTTTTGGACAAAGTTTTGCTCTGGATAGCCTAAAAGGAGCAACTCCCCCAAGTCTGACCAACAGTGGTTAATTTCTAGGGTGGACAGAAGATCTCCCAGGCCAAGGGACACAAGATCACCTGGGGTGGCAGTTCTCCAACTCCAACATGCCAAAGTCACCTAGAGGACTGGGCAGGTCACTCATTGCTGCGGTGGGGCCCAAGGATTCATCATTTCCAGTGAGTTCCCAAGGTGATGCTAGGGGCCCAAGTCATACTGGGAGACCATTGTCCTGGGTTTGGCAGCTCAGAGATAGAGACCCTCATGGAGACAGCCATTGCTGTCAGATGCCAAGCCTTCTGTGTCCTGAGGGGGCAGTACCTATGTAACCCTCCCTGTCCACCACCCCACCCAACCCCCCCAAGGCCCCAGACATGAATTCCCACTGGGGAAGTAACTCCTGTCGCCACTATCCTCTGTCACCCCTGAGCTAAAGAGGTTCTGGGCTGAGGCATCCTGGAGGGATGTGGGGGAACCCAGCTGAGCCACGAGGACAACAGAGGCTGGCTCCCCTCTACTCTCAAGAAGCAGAGCCCCCTTACAATGGTGCTTAGGGCGAGTAAACGATCCATGGGAAGACCTATCATAACAGAAGGTCTAGTTACAAAACCGCAAATGCCCTCAACTGAGGGCCTCACAGATCACCTGGATGCTGTTCAATCCTTCTACTCACAGGAGGGTTACACTTCTACACCTCTCCACCAAGGGAACAGAAACTCAGATCTGGAGCCTCCGACAGCCTTGCTTGTAGGATTCACATTCTCTTACGTGTTAAATTGTCAAAGGCTGGATACAGGGGGAAACTGCTCTGTTATTTTCTCCTCTTTTCCTAAGCAGCATCTTGTTTCCATTTAAAAAAAATCAGCTTCTTTTGCTAAGATTTCGCCTAAAGAAGACCAAAGGTATTCTCAGACATGACTTCAAATTGTAGCTAACTGCCTTCTGGATCAGGGCTAAATTACCCAGGCCATCAGCTTCTCTTCCCTAAATGTTATGCTCAAGTTTGTGGTCACAATGCATATCCTGAGGATAATTACATATCTGGAGATGAGCCTCAGTTTCCCTGTTCTTAAAGCAAGAGTAATAACCTCAACCTCAAAGGTAAAAAATTACCTCTGCTCTGGCTCACCACCTGGGCCCTGATGACGGGTGGGTGCTGTCAGGACAGATGGAGACTGCACACAGGCCAACGCCCTTCTAGGGGTTTGGGGGACAGCTACCACCTGCCTGAGCAGATTGGGGCTAAATAAGGTAATTGTCCTCTATCCCTTTTTCTTCCACGGAACCACTGCCCTCTCTGAAAAAGGAAGAGAGGGAAGGAGAAAGTAGTCAGGACCAAATCCTTCCCCCTGTCCCTCTCAGT